CATTCCCCAAAGCAGGGCCTCCCTAAACCCTGAAGTACACTATAGCTCAAGAGTAAGGGTTCAGTCAGAGCCAGAAGAAGATTGGACATCCCATGTCCCATACTCTCCTACTTGACAGATGGGGAAACAGGAGCACGGAGAGTCTGAGGCACTCGTAACACACCGCAAGTTGGACAGTGGTGGGCTGGGAGCAAAGGTGTCCCAGCTCCCAAAGCAGTCTTTCCAGTGAATCTCCTGGGCCTCCCAGCAGAAGAAGGGAGTGGTGGCTGAGCTGGGTCAGAGAAAGCCACGATGGGAACTGAGAAGATGGCATACCTTGTGGAAAGATCTGGAAAGCCAAGGCCAGGCGGCCTGGCAGGTGCAGCCTCAGAGAATGGAGTGGGCAACCTGACTGTCATAGAGAGAAGAGGCATCCCAGGGGTCCCTGCTGTGATGAGGGGCACACCTAACTCTCTGCTGGGCCCAACCACCCACCTCTAGAAACACAGTTGCCTCAGAGCTGGGCAGGGACCAGATGCCTCCTGGATCCACCAGGGTGTGAAGACTAAATCTACTCCCCATGACCCCACTACCATGGGAGGGGACCCCATCATCCCTTGGCAAGTGAGTCTTTCCCCCATCCACCCCAGAGGGCTCAGAAGGTCACCTTGTCTGTACCATGGCCTGGTGATGAATGAAGGCAAGTCCTCATTCACAACCCTGAGGTCCAGCCCCACCCACAGAATAACTGTGAGACTTTAAGCAGGCCACTTAACCTCCCTGAGCCTTTGTCCTCAGTGGGGAATTATACCTTCTGGCTTATGCAGAGGATGGAATGAGAAATGCCTGGGAAACAGGAAGCTCTCAACAAGGTGACATTTCTCCGGCCCTTTTAGTCTCTAGGCTCCCTTTCGGGGAGACAGGGGTGAATCCTGGAGACAGAGAAGGCAGTCCTGGAGAGACAAGAATTCACCCCCACATGTGCTGGTCCCCTGCTGCCCAGCCCACTGAAGGCCTTCAGCTCAGGAGGCCATTAGTCACTACACCCCGTACGGGTTCTCTGCTCCCCCCAGGAACTACAGTCTCTTCCCACTGCTTTCCTCCTGGCCTCCTGGGCCTCCTGGCTCCCCCCTCCCCAGGCCTAGGCCTAAGCCACGGCCTTCTTCCCCGCTCATGGTTCCTGGAAGGCAAGGCAGTTAATAAAATGTAAGTCTACTCTGAAGATAGGTGTGGGCAGGACCCTGCACTGGCACCCACAGGCTGGCCCCGTGCACTGAGCTGCCTCCAGAGCCATGTGATTTCTCGCCCCTGCGTTGGCTAAGTGGTATCTGTCTTCTCAGTGGCTGGGAAGTGAAAGCACTTTCCCCTCTGCCTCACCCCCAGCTCTCCAGGCCCACAGAAGCCAGGGCCAGGAGGGTGGAGGTTCACGACACACAATCCCCAAAGAGGCCCGGCCACTGCCATGAGACCTCACCCTTGGTTTAAAGAAGCCCAGAGAGGGCTAGCAACTTGTCCGGGACCACACAGAGAATCTATGGATGAGGAGGCAGAGCTGGGCTAAGATATCAACAGGAAACATTGTTAACGAGAGCCTGAGTTTGAATCCTGATTGACCAAGGGACTCCAAGTGTAGTTTGCTCTGAAGGGGAGATGGTAATAGAGCATCTAACTCAAGGCAGTGTGAGAATTCAATGAGCTCATGCTAAGATGCCCTTACCATAGTACCCAGCATGCAGTAGGTACTAAATAAGTCATAACTTCTTCCAAGACTCTACAGGGATCCAGTCAGCCTTGCTATTTCTCTGAAGGATGAATAGAGAGTGCAAAGGCCTGAGTCCCAAGGACTGGAGGTCAGGATCCCCAGGATGCCTGGGCAGACCCAGGGCCCAGGTAAGGTATCTCAGACTTGCTGCCATCTTGTCCTGCTTGCCCAGCTAGGAAGAGCTGAAGTTACCCTTCACTCGAGCCTTCTTTGTATCCTGGGCTTGGCTCCTCAGCTCTCTGCAGTAGCATGCTAATTTTCAGATGTAAATTAGCGGGGGGGGGGGGGGGATTTTCTGGACTGGAGCTTTTGAACATAAGTGATGACCCCCAATGCTGCCTCTATTCCCCATTTCCTGGAGATGGGGAACCCTTGTCACTTAGTGAGGAATTTGGACAGAAATGTTGAAAGGAGAGCATCCTGACCCATCCTGACCCATCTAGGTCTTGGCTGAGGCTGGATTCTTGCCCTCCAGGCTCTTAAACCCGGAAACTCCGCCTCCTGAGGTTTTGGACCTGGGGTGGTTTGGGGGGCGGGGAGCTTTCTCGCTCTTGCGATGCTATAGATTTCCCAGAGGGAGCAGTTGTGGCTCCAGCCACCACTCAGCCAGCTGAATTACACCTTCCAGCCCTAGGTCAGGCCTTTAGGGGGTTCTGGAGCTACCCCCATGTCCTGACTTAGGGTCCTGGGCCACCCAGAGGCCGAGGGGGAGGGGCTCAGGAATGTACTCCCACAGGAATGTACTGTACCATGCTCCTCTGGTGTCCTGAGAGGTCTGGAAGGTTCTCATGCCATCCACCTTCCCCAAGGGTACACATCTGCCACCTGTGCAGAAACGGCAGCTTGGTAACAGTCCATGTGACAGGTCTAAAGACTGAGGCCCCGGCAAGGAGCGCCTTCCCGTGCACCTACTGGCCTCGGGGCGGCAGAATTTCCCTTGGGAGTATCACGCAGGTTCCTGGCATCCCCTCCCAGGCCCCTGTGGACCTCAGCTGCAGCCCTCTGAGCCCTCAGGAATCCAAGCTGAGTTCACGGGCTGTCAGACTAGCGAAGCCTTGAGAATGAATTCAGGGCTGGCAAATTCATTTTGCTTCCTTTCCCTCGGTGGGAAAGATCTAGCCGGCCCTGAAGGAGTGATCTAGCCGGCCCTGAAGGAGTTCAAGCCGAGGTCAGAGATGCCCACTGAAGGATGTTTTTTAAATAGGGTGAGGGGGGAGGGTACTCTGGCCTGCTCCTCACGCTGGCCCAGGGTCGGCGCTGATCACTGCCCAGGAGGCCTGGACGATCCTCGAGTCTGCGTGGCACGTCCGCGCTCCCAGGCGGGCCTCGTCAATCAGGCAATGGCCCTAGCCGGTCCTGGACATCTTCCGCTAGTCTCAGTTCCCGGGGGAGACCCCCGCCCGTGCTGCCTCCGGGTACCCGCCCCCCGGCGGTGTCATTGTTCTCTGACGTCACGCCGCGGCCCCGCCCCTCGACCCTCACCAACCCCCCACCCCCCCCACCTCCGGCTCCTGGCGCCCGAGACCCTCGCAGCCAGCAAAGCCCAGGCAATGCAGGGCTCCCCCCGCGGCCCTGCCCGGGCTGCGCCCCCTTGCGCTCTCCCCAACTTGCCTTTGTTATTCCAGCTCCCTTCCTCGCCTCGCCTCCGACACCGCGGCAGGCTGCAAAACACGGAGCGCGGAGCCACCGCCACACCTGGAATCCGAAGCGGGCGCCAGCCGAAGCCTCCCCCGCCTGTGCAGGGAGGAGAGTGCTTGCGTGCGCGCGAGTGTGTGTGTCCAACCCGCGCCGCGCGGGCGCCGATTATGATTTGGGACTGAGGGTTGCCGCAAATCACAAGCGGTGGTGGGGGTGGTTCTGGGTGTGAAAGAGGGAGTGGGAGGAGGATATGGGTTTGTGTGTGTACGTGAGCGTGAGGATTTCATGCACAGGGGAATGTTTCATGTTTGTTGTTGTTGTTGTTGTTGTTGTTGTTTTAGTGTATTTGGTTGTACGGCGATGTGTGTGTCTGCGTGCAGTTGCGTATGTGTAAATGCGGTGGCTACGGTCGTGTGCACGGGTACATTTGTGAGGGAAAGTGTATGTGTGTGCGTGTTTGTGTGTGCGCACGTGTGGAAGCGTGTTTGTAAAACTGAGTGTGGGCGCGAGTGTGTGTGCTGTTTGTGTAGGAGTTTCCGTGTGAGTGGCAGTGGACGTCAGCCAAGGTGGGTGCGCACTTAAATGCTCTCGTGGGTGGGTCCGCAAGGGGAACCCCGCGAGTGGGTACACCCCGCTGCGCCTTGTGAGTGCCATCCCTCTCCGCGGCCCCTGGGGCAGTGCGCAGTCCCGAACGTAGAACGGGGCCTGGGTCCTGGCGCCCCCACCCCGCCCACGTGCACTGGGCCTTGGGCTCTTCTGACCGGCCTCGGGGACCCGCCGGCCTCTGGATCGCGCAGGGTGCCAGGGTCAGACCTTGCGCCCTGGTCCTTCCCGGTTGTCGGGGACACTGCGCTCCAACCTCCCCCAACGTCGCCCTTGGTGGTGACAGTGTTTGTGGTGTGTTGGGGGGGGGGTTCCTCTACTCTCCCCACCAGTCAGTCCCTGGGCTTTGGGAACAACCCCAAAAGTCACCTCCGGAGGAACGCTTGAGCAATCCTTGCTAGCAACTCGATTACCCCCAAATAGGTTACCTGACAGCGTTCACGGCCCCAAGTGCACTCTAGTCCCGGGCGCGCGAACCAAGGGGGTACCGTAGGTGCCTGGTGGTTTTCCCCCCTCCCCAATGTGGTCCCTTTCCAGGCTCAGCATTTCTCTCCTACTCTAAACTTGCAGGAGCGGGAAGGTAGGGGCGGGAAGGGAGAAGTGGAAGAAGGGGGAGAGAAAAGGGAGGTGAGTGACGGGGTGGGGGGGGGTGACGCGCGAAGCTCTTCCGAGCCACAGAGGGGGGAAAGCTTGGAGAGGGCCGGGACTAAGGAGCGGGGAAGAAAAAGCAAAAGAAGGGACAGGAAAGGCGAGGGAGAGAAAGAGGCGAAAAGGAAAGAGGGAGAGTGAACGGCGAGAGCGCTGAGAGAGCGCGAGCCGAGCGGAGCCGAGCGCTGGTGCGGCGGCGGCGGCGGCGGCGGCGGCGGCGGCAGCAGTGCCCCGTAGCTCCGTTCCGTCCTTAGTTCCGTACCTGCTTTTGCGGGCGGCCGGCGGCGCGGGGCCCTTTGGAAATAGAATAGCCAATGTAATCTGACACTTCAACTTGCTCGGCTCCGGGCGAGTTGATTCACTTACTCACCCCCTAACGCCGAGTTCCTTTTCACTGTCTGTGGACATTAAAAAAGCGAGCGGCGGCGGGCGCCCGGGAGAGCAGGCGACCGGGCGGCGGGCGGGCGAGCAGCGACCCGGCGGCGGAGCAAGCGAGCAGCGCCGGCGCAGCGCGGTGACCCCGGCCCCGGTCGGCGCGGAGCAGGAGCCGAAGCGGAGCCGTTCTCGGCGCCCTCGTAGCGCTCCTCCCGGCCCGAGCCGGGCCTGCCCGGCAGCGGCCGCGGCGGCCGCGGCGCGTCCTCCAGCGGCGGCAGCGGCGCTCGCAGCGCCGGGTAAGTTTGGGTCCAGACCCGGGCGCCCGCTTGCCCCGGGCCTTCCTCTCGCTCCCCGCGGACTCTTGGGGTGCGAGCGTGCTGAGTGCTGAGGGCTTTTCCCTTGAAGGGTCCTCCGGGGCCAGGCAAGCCGGGCGAGCGGCCGGCAGCCGAGCTCCACTGCGCTCCCCTCGGCGGCCCGGGGACGAGGCCCAGGCGACCGGCGAACGCCCGGCTGCGCGGAGCCGGCTTGGGCAGCGCGCGGGGACCGAGGCTCTTCGGGTGTGCGGGGCGTGAGTAAGGTTGTGCGCGCGCGGACCCTGTGCCCGCCTCCTGCCGGTGCGCCTCCAGCCCTCGTTCTGAACACCCGGGCAGGAGCGGGATTCGGGCAGGGAGGGAAGGACCCGGGTAGGACCACCTCGGTCTCCTTCACCACCTTCGGGGAGACGCGAAGTTGTGCGCCTGTGTGTAGGAGAACAGCCGGAGACGGCGCTGGATTTCGGGGTGGCAAGGGGTAGTGGTGCTAAGTTGTGCATCTGAATTTCCAGGCAAAACACACACTTTTGTAAATGGGAGGTGGAGGCGCGGTTAAGTTGTTTGTGTGTGAATTGCCCGGGGAGACGCGGCGCACGGTACTAGCCGGGAACGCCAAGGGGTGTGTGTTTGGGGCTTCCCGTAGGTCTTGAGAAGCCCGAGGGGCCTTAAGGCCATCGCCCGGTCGGGGCTGCCCCGGCCAGAAGGGGAGCCCAGAGGGAAGATGTGCGTGTGTGTGTGCGCGCGCGCGTTGCAAATACGAAAGTAATTTCTCCGTGTTCTTTCTTCCTCTCCGTCTCCGGCGGCGGCGGCGGCGGCCCCGGGGGAGTGGGAGGCCGGCCGGGGCGGAGGTTGGGGGGCCGGGCCGGGGCTGGAGCTGGGGGGGGGGGGCGGGCTCTGGAAGCTTGTTTCGCATTCCTGGCGTCTGGGCTGGGGAGAGAACAGTGGGGAGCGCGGCCTCGGCGTCTGGGGCGCGGGCAGCGGGCGCGCGTCGCCCCCTCGCCGGGGACATCTGTCCAGGAAGCCAGGCGGGCGGGGAGAGGGCGCGGTGCGGAGGGCAGGCTCCCCGCCCCGGAGCAGCGGGGGCGCGGGCGAGGGGCGGCCGCCTTCCCGGCCATTGTGCGCCAGCAGATTTTCACGGGAGACTGCCCCGGAGCCGCCGGAGAAGGCCGAGAGTCAGCCTCAGCCCTGGGTTTAAAAGACACTCCAGGAATGTAAACAACCCGGGCGGGAGGGCGGGCTGGCGGGAGCGCGCCAGGGCAGCTGGCCCGGGCCCCCCACCCCTCCCTGGGGGACAGCCCGACAGCGGGGCCGCCCAGCCCTTACCTCTCTACCTGCCGCAAACTTTTTCCTCCTCTGCTTTCCCTTCCCACCTCGCCCCTCTAGCTGGGCGCAGAGCGAGGGCCTCTCCCGAGGCTGGGGCACTGAGCGACTGACACCCTGCGCCTGACCCTGGAGGCCTGGAGGCTCGGCCCCTCCTTGGGTGTCCCGAGTTCAGGCTGCTTCTGCTCGGGAGCCGCGCGGGCTGCTTCCTTGGACAGTGCCCGAGTAACTGGGGCTCTGAGAGCTGCCTGCCTGCCTGCCTGCCTCTCTCTCTCTCCCTCCCTCCCTCCCTCCCGCTGCTCCTTCCCCACTCTCCCCCTTCTCCTCTCCCCTGACTGCTTTTCCAATGCCTTGACATGAGGGAGGAAGATTTAACTTGGCAGCCCAAACAAATGTTCTCTCAGAGGTCCTCCAAGAAGCTGGCGGCCGGGCTGGCAGGGTGAGGGCACTGCTCGGCCAGTCTTTTCCTCCTCCCGGCTCTGCCATGGCCGTTTGAAGCCCCCTGGGTGGACAGCCCCGGGCATGGGAAGAGTAGAGCCCAACCCTGCAGATTTAAAAGGGCAATGAGAAGCTGACTGTGGAAGCCCCCGGGCTCGGAGCTAGGCAGAAGCCGCAGGGAGCTGCCTCCTGGTGCCAAAGGTTTTCTGGAGGATTTTCTTGAGCAACAGTTTGTCTCCCTGCTGCAACCCGGGAACAGGGCCTGGTAGACCAGAGGGTTAACCAGCGCGGTCTCCTCCTCTACTGTGGGTGTGAGGACAGGCTGGTTACACAGGGCAGGGCAGGAGGCCAGAGGCTGTTCCCAGAGGTGCCTGCGTTTGCTTATTATTGTTTTTCTGAAGGTAGAGATAAAGAGGCAGGCGCAGTGGTTGGACAATGGGCAGCTTGGCCGGCGTTGAATTCGGACTTGACTTCGCTGGCGTTGGTATGGTCCCGGGAGTTTAAAAGTTGTTTGCAAGATATTGGGGAAGTTTAGACCAGGGGGCGAGCACCTAGCTTTTTCTGTCCTGGCTGCTTTTTTGAGGAGATCCAGAGCAGAAGTTGGGGTGGGGTGGTGGTTGGGCGGGGGGGATTCCTGGCCCCTTGCTTCCCCTCTGCCTGGCCCTGGTGGTGTGTTTTGTGAATGCCCCAAGCCCTGTGCTGACCTTTCTCTCATCAAGTTGAGGATGTTGAAACACTAGCATCAAACAAAAGACACATTGAAAGCCCTATCTGCCACAGAGCACGTGTGACTTTGGGGCCAAGGGAATGCATCTGGAGGGAGATGGTGTTTTCTTCTAAGTTTTATGATTTCGGTTGGGTTTTGTTTTTCCCAAAAGGACGGAAGCATCTCCTTGTCCCAAGTCACGAGGTTATGAAACGCTGTTTTCACATGTAAATCTAAAAACCTTAGACTTTGGAGAGTTGGTGGCAGGGACTGGAGCTGGGGGGGGGGGGGGGGGGCGGGGAGGGCTCGGAAGTAGGGAGTTTTCAAGAGTTTTAAATCGTTTTTGGATTGGGGTTTTGAGGCATTTGGGATATGGCTCACAGAGAAGAGTTGGGAATGAGAAATTGCCCGACTTCTGGGAAGCTTTGATAACTAGCCCTGTCTTTGCAAAGAAGGGATGTCTGGCTTCTTGGTTGGGGACAGTATGTCCCTTTTTCCTCCGAAGGAAAGAAGAGAGGAGGATCCTCATTCCTTTCATGGCCAGGAGCAAAATGAAGAAAGGTCCAGAGACTGAGGGGTTTAACCACAGAACCACAGGTTCTCTCTCTCTCACACACACACACTCCCCTCACAACAGTAACACAACACTCTTTTCGTACCTGGCCCCCAGAGGTGTGCCCCCATATAGGACAGGTGCCCACTGGCGACTCATCCTGGAAAATCTCAGAGGGAAGGCTCCCTCTGAGAAGAGCTGCACTCTTCACTTTTTCCCCTGATTGACAAAGATGGGGGGAGAAGGCACTCTGAGGCCTACCGTGTCCTGAGAATCGTGTCTCAAGAGTAGCCATGTGTGACGCCACGGATATGGAGTTCTAAGGCCCTGGCTAGTGTCCAAAGAAGCAGCCATGACCCTCACCTCAGGGTGAAGCATCGCTGTAAGAAATTTGGGCACCAACAAGTTAATTTCCGGAAGCTTCTCTGGGCACTCTGTCATGGAACCAGGAAGCGAGGCCTGCCAGGTTGTGACTGGGTCCCATACGTTTTCATTCATAACTTTGCTCCCAGGGGCTTCTGCTGGGCTCCTATCACAGCCTCATCTTTATGAGGTTCCTTGGGTTTTGTGTGGACAACAAAGGCCAGGCTGCAGTAATTACTCCGGACCCCGCTGCAGCCTTGCCTGGTGACTGCTCTGACCTCTCAGCAGGACACAGTGGCCTCTGTCCACGCCCTCTGAGGGGAAGCTCTTTATCCCTAGAGCCCCTGACAAAGTGAGGAGAGGGAGGCAGGGCTTGCCTAGGCTGTAAACTCTAGGGGTGATTTTGAGGTTGGGCCTTGTCCTCAGGGAGGATCAAGAAAGGCTGAGTAAATCAGTCCCACGTGCAGGCTCTGGGAAAAGACTCCAGGAAACCCTTCGTGATTTTTTGGTTTTCCCAGTGCTTGAGGAGATGGTGGAGAAGTGTCAAGAGGCTGGCTCCCTTAGGCCAGTGGATTCACCCTCCTGGGACTCAGTCTCCTAATCTTTAAAATGGGTCCAAGGCAGAACAACTCTGATCCCACTTGGCTGCTGTGAGGATGAGGCAGATGTGAGTAGTGGAGGCCTTGGCCCGTGTCCTCTGAAGGCCTGGTGGGCTCTAGGTGCAGAATGGAGCACAAAGGTATTGCCTTAGGGGAGCTAGTAGCATTTTCCAAGAAGCTGCTTCCCCAAGCCTACTTCCTTGGCAGCTTATATCCAGTCTTGGCTTGCATGCCCCCTATGACAGGGCGCTCATCACTCGAAGCAGCTTCTGCCTTCAGTGGACAGCTCTGTCAGTGTGCTCTATTGCATGGCATGCTTTCTGGAAATCATCTCTTCCTGACCCTCACTCTGGGCTTGAGGTGTTGGGGGGTCCTCCAGACCACAGACTCATCCTTTCTTGAACGATCACAGATTGAAGACTAGTGCTCAAGCAGATCCTACTAACGGCTACTTTCAGCTGTTACTGGGAAGGAGCTGCTGGGAGTGAGAAAGGGTCCGACTGAGAGACTCAGTATGATCTGTCAGTGTATGGACCTGGTCTACCTCTTGATACTTTTCCCTCCTTGGATTGGGTATGAGGAGAAGGAGGGAGCTAAGTGATGGGAGTGGGGTCAGGTCAGGGGCCCAGCGTTGGTGCCACAGATAATTCCTAAGAGTCCACAGTTGTGAGGATCGTGGCCTGTGAGACACCCAGAAATGTGTAAGAGAGTTCCTGTTCCTGAGGAGCTCACAGCCAGTAAGGGCAGGAAGATCAGTCCAAATAAATAATTAACCACTACGAGCTGGCTGCCTGCCATGGGGCGCATGACGGGAATAACCACGGGCCCTCGCCTTTGTGTATGGCACTTGGAGGATTTAGAAGCACTCTCCAAATTTACAGCACTCCAGCAACAACAGTGGAAGCTAGCTGCGATTTGGAATCACCCCCACTTAACAGACAAGAAAATCAAGTTTCAGAGAGGTAAGATGACCTGTAGCTCAGCCAGGACTCAGCCCCGGGCCTCGGAGATAGAACACTGCAGCCACCCTCCCAGTCCACCAAGCACGGGTGCAGAAGTCGGTGTGGACCCCCCGGGATGGAGACCTGGGAACTGAGGTTAAGGGAGGAAGAGCCAGAAACGGGAAGGGTCGCACATGGGCTTACCTGTACCTGCCCCCTGCCCCCTGCCCCCTGCAGCCATGCCCCTTTCTTTTGGCAAAGTGTCTTAAAGTCGAGCTTGCTCTGAGCCCCAGATGCTGCTGTGACTGCTAGGGCACACGTATCTCTGCGTGGGTCTCCAACCCCATCCCTGACCCTAGAGCAGGAAGAGGAGATGTTTCCAGGCCCCAGGTCTTTGTGCGGCCCAAGGCTCTTCCTTGGACTCTGATGGTTTCTATAGATACAGGCCTTGACTCAGCCTGCCCCTCCTCTGGCTGAGTCAGTCCTCGGGCTACGTGGGGTGGCCGCCCTGTGGGCACTCTTGGGTCCCTCCTACCCCCAGACGCAGCCCTCCTGCTGCCCACGTCCCTGTGCCTGGTGCTTGGAGCTCAGCTGAGGACCACCCCAGGACTAGGCCATCACTGGTGGGGTACAAAGCAGGATGCAGCCTGGCAGGCTGAGCTTGTACCTCCCCAGGAAGCCCGGCCCAGCCTGGCACACCTGCACAGGTAATGACTGCAGCCCAGGAGGGCCCTGGGGCCCGCCTGTCAGGCCCAGCTGCTGGGGTTACTGCAGGATCATGCTGGGGGAGGCCGGGGTGTCTGAGCTAATTAGATTTCTTAGATTTCAATGCTCCCCTAATCCTGTTAGCCCGGCTGTAATTGTAACCACTTGAAGGTTTCAGCCGTGGCAGGCTGTTGAGGACAGACGGTGTGGGGACTCTGCTCTGCCCCAGCCCCAGCCTTAGACAGCCAGCTGGGGACTGGGGACTCCTTTTCCAGTTCTCTAGGGTGAGGGCCTGAGTGGTGGTAGGTGTTGCACTTTTCTTGAGAGCCTTGGTACCGCAAACTGTGGGAGCAGGCATGGCCCTTAGGATCATCCGGCTTCAACCCTTCACTGTGTAGATGGGGTCACAGAATTCTGCACGGGGACAGGGACTGGCCCTGGCCCTCAGTGGCTGGTAGGGGCAGGGTGCCTGGGTCCTGCAGTCTGGCTTTGTGATCTTTGTCCCTGGAGACTTCAGGGCAGGTCTAGAATTGTATAGGACTTGTGAACCCTCCAGAGAAGTCTACCCCAAAGATCGGGGCTAGGGGTGCTTCATTTGTCCCAAAGCCTGCTCCCCAGTTGGCATTACCCCCCGCCCATACACACATATGCATGAATCTGTGCGCCCTCACACACATGCTGTCACCTGCGCTGACCCAGGTTGCTGCTGAGGACTCAGACCCATCTCTCCTAGGGCTCTCAGACATGGGGGGCTTTTTCCTTTCCTCCCTTGTCCCAGATTCTTGATCTCCCGGAGGGTCCAAGTCAATGCGGATGAGTGCTTTGCCAGAAAATGGCACAGCTATTCTGATGGGGGGGTGGGGGCGTTCTATTAGAAGACAGTCTCTTTGTACTTTCAAAAGCTCTCCCAAAATTATTCTTTTGGTGTCTGGTTTAAATGGAACTTGCACCCTGTCCCTATACTCTCTCCTGCCCTACTCCCATCCGCATTTCCCAAAACTTCAGTCATCCACTCAGAGGTTGGTGCTTACAGGAGAAGGGGTGGGGGGGCTGTGATACCTTCGGAAACCCTGTTGGGGAAGTTCCCACCCAGCAGTCCCATCCTGTCTTCCACATGGCCCTAGAGCAGCAGGGAGAGGGGTTCGAAACCTCCTTCCACTCCGGACGCTCCCAGGCCCTGAGCACATAGTACAGAGCTGAGGGACGGTAGGTCTGACCCTTCCTTTCCTAACCCAGGAAACCCAGGTCTGGGAAGAAAGAATGGGCCGTATCTAAGGGCAGCAGTGAATCAGTGACACAGCCAGGCCTGGAACCCTGTCTGTCCAGCCCATTAGCTCATTAAACATTTATTGAGCATCTGCTGTTGGCCGGGCACAGCCCCGTTAGCCACGCTTTGGAGCTCATGGGTAAATGCGCTTCCATCTTTCACTGGGAAGGACCATCCGAGCCTGGGGAGGATGGGGTACATTCCTGAGCTCTCGGGGTGAGGAATAAGCACGGGGCTTTTCAGAAGTACTCCCTGATCCTACACATCTGGAGGGGATGGGCATTAGCACTCCAACCAGCAATGTATTTCTTAAAAGTTAATTGTGGGTTAGTTGCATTGTAGATTGGAGGGAAGTAAAATAGAAACCCTCTTGGAAGATACAAAGTTTCTCATCTGCCCAGAGCCAGCTTAGTCCTAGAAGATGGGTGGCTTCCTTTCCTGTCCCCTACCTCCACCCAGCCCTCCTAGTGCTGACTTTTGTCCTTCAAGGGCTAATGGCCCACCACCTTTTCCTGCTAACATTTCCTCTGCATATGGAGAAGCAGGGAAGGAGCCCCCTTGGCCCACCCTGGGAATCACATGCGTCAGGCCCAGGTGAGAACACATGAAGAAGAGCCAGCAGGCTTAGGACAAGGGAGAAGATGCCGAGGGCCTGGACCTCACCCTGTCCACAGGCCCTTACCCAAACCCCCACCCTGCCCCCTGATAGACCAAAGCTGGGAAACCTGGCCCTTGGCCGTGACCAGCCAGCCCTGTGGCTGAGGGACAGATGGGGCAGGGAGTCCTTTGGGAAGGGTCCAGAAACCCTCACTTGGCGTTTGCAAGTGGGAAGGACTTTCCAACCTTCTCATCTGGCAGTTGAGGAGACCCAAAGCCCAGAGAGGTAGAGGACCGGCTACAGGTCCCATAGCAAGTTGGCTCCCCTGCACCAGGGAGGCTGAGTTGTCTGGGTGGGCGGGGAGAGGTGGAATTTTCTATTGCTATCATGTTTTGGTGCTCCTGCTGTTGTTTACATCTTTAAAACAACTTCCCAGCCTCTACCAGAAACATCCTGACAGCCAGTACTTCTCGGGCCACTACTTTGTTTGAGGCTCTGCTTAGACTGCCTGGCGTTGATTTCTCAGCTCCGCTCTTCCTGGTCCTGTGACTTTGGGCAGGTTCTGTTAAACTTCTCCAACTCCCGTCTCCATGTCTGCAACACACACTTCTTCATGGTTTAAAAAGTTTCATTTCACCTTCCCCCAGGCTGTGAAAATGGAGCTCCTATAGCACCTAGCACATAGTAAATGCTCAAGAAATAGGTCCTCAAACTTACACAGGAGACACAGGTCACACGGGTTGCTCACGGTCCCCTGGTACCTCAGGGCCAAGCATGGCTGGACCTGGCATCTAGACTTCCTGACCCTCACCCTCCTTTTGCCATTCTTTGCAGTCTCCCCTCTGTAGCAGCAAGGGCCAGCAGGTGATCTCTAGGAGGCCCTCCGTAATATTTAACCGAGTTCATTTCATTTCACCCTACCAGGGAAGTCTGTTTCCCCCCCAGCATGTTCCAAGGTGGAGATTTACATCTGGGTTCCTACCTGCAAACCTCTCTTTCTTCCCCTGTAAGGAGAGGCCAGAAGGAGGATACCACTTTCTTCCTGGGCTCTTCCCACATGGAGAAAAGGAGAGCATGAAAGACTGGGCCTTGTCAACCACGGTAATGGGTTGTGGGACCTCAGGCCAGTGACCGACCCTTCTGGGCCTTAGTTTCCTCATCTGAAAATCGAGAGGGGAGACCACATCAGGGTTTCCCAGAGTGGGTTTTCAGGAACCACACTCCGCCAGAGGAAGGACAGCAGAACACAGCCTCCTTCTCCCGGGACCCTGCCAGCCCTTTGCCTCACTCAGTGGTGCCCAAAAGAGGGGACCCTCCTCCCACCTTCCTTTTTTATGCAAATAGCTGTTGAAGATACCCCCTATAGTCCCTTCCTGTTCTGGCATTGATGACTTGGTCCCCTGGTTGGTTTCCCTGCCCAAGAACCACCTTCCCAGAGGGGCTGTGCACAGTGGGGAAGTCGAGGGCAACTTTCACATGGACAGAGACCCCTGCCCCTGCCCCTGCGGCCGCTGCTGAGCACTGCCCGCCACTCCCGCCAGCTTTCCTGGCAGTGCCCTCTGACTTCTACCCTTCAAGCCCGCAGTCTTCTGTCTCACTCTCTGGCCTCCTCTTCTTTTATTGTTACGAGACCACAAATCTGTCTGTGGCTGGGCAGTGCTGAAAGCCAGGCCAGCTTGGCAGAGGGGTGGGACCTCTGCCATGTCCCTAGAGATGAGCCTCGAAGACATAGCAGCTATCAGAGCAGGAAGAGCCTCGTGCTCACCCTGCCAGGGCCACACACCCCTGCCCCCACGTGCACCCTTTCGCAAGCCCAGGTTTCTCCGGAGAGATGATCCACAGCTTTATTCCGATTCTTTAATCAGTTTGGACACCCGAGAGCCGTGTAAGAACCATGAGGGGGTCTAAAAGCGCCCTAGCCCCTGAATGGAACAGGACTGCTGTGCCGTCTTGCCCCACCTCCTGCCCGCAGACTCTTCTGTTGCAACTCACTGGAGTCACCACGCTTGCCATGGAGGCGTCTGTGTTCACAACGCCTGCTTCTGATCCAGCCTGACATCATCCTGGGGAGGGCATCAAGGCCAAGGGAGGACAAGAGACCTGACTAAGGTCACTGTCAGTGGCAGCCCCCTGGGACACAGGACCTGGTACGGGGGCTGGGGGGTGAGGAGGGGGCCCAAGGGATGGTCTCCTGTGCCGGCTGAGTGCACTGCTGGCACCGTCTGGTCTCGTCCTCTGCGGGTGCCCCAGAGATGTGTCCCAGAGCTTCCGCAGTCATGGTCCCCAGCGAGCTAGGGACTAAGTGAAGGGAGGAAGTTCCCACCCGCTACGTCTTGTAGGAAGGCTGGGCAGGTCTGGTTTAGGGCTTATGTCCTCTGGCTCGGGAGAGCAGTTCCCCACCCTGCTGTCTGCACTGCCCGTTTATCCTGCTCTCTTGGGTTCATATTTCCTCTTCTAGGGCCGTCGGGCTCACTGGTATTTACATACAGAGGAGCACTGTCTACACTCAGGATGCCTGGCTGGTATGAATTCTTTGTGAGCCCTGCTGCTGTTATCGGCAAGAGGCAGCCTGAGGCCCTGGGGAGGGCTCTGGGCTGGGGGAGCTCCCATGCTGGCAAGCCCACCGTGGATGACTGCCTCCCTGGCTCATAGCCCTCGTGTTCCTGACTTTCTGGGGTCCTCAGGAGTGGGCTCTGTAACTGCCGTGAGCACGTCGGGGGCCGGGGTGCAGGGAGCCCTCCTTGGCCTTCCACCTCTGTACCCGGTTTGCTCAGTGCCCCCTGAGCTCCAGGACCCCTCAGTGCTTCTGATCCCGAAAGAAAAGAGGACACCTTGGGTGTGATTTCTTGCGTAGTGTCTGGCCATGGGGCCATGGCTGCAAAGGGAGCTTCCCCAAAGCTGTGAGTTCAGGGCGGGTTGATTTTCTGCAGAAGGACGGCGTTCTGATCCTGCCGCCGTAGCCTGGGTTGAGGCTGGCAGCTTCACTCGAGCTTTAGCTTCAGGGCCGATCCCTCCAGGGGCAGTGGAGCCGCTTTGGGGTGTGGAATCTTCGAGGGTCCCAAAGTTCTCCGAGCTTCCTACCTGATGGCTGGCTCCCCTCCCAGCCAGATCCCCGGAGGCAGCCGGGCCGTGTGATC